ATATATATATATATATATATATATATATATATATATATATATATATATATATATATATAAATATATATAGAGTCATCATAAAACTAATGAACGTATGTTTTACTTTTATAAAGTTTCTTTTCAGTCAAATAAACTTGTAGATAAACTTGAAAATACGCCATATTTAAGTAAAGTTGCACATAAGCATCGCGATGTTTTGCGGCTCGGAAAAAACGTTTTGTAAACGTTGTTTTAAAGTCCTGTAAAATACAAAATAAATAATAGTAAAAGAACTATTCAAACGTTTTTTAAACGTTTTTTGAACGTTTTACTTATACAAACGTCTTCAAGCGACTGTTGAACGTCTACAAAACGTTTACAAACGTACTTGTGCCCACTGGGGAGATTCAAATGCTTTGTTTAGAAAATATTGGTATTGGTCTTCAATGTATGTATTATTTCTGTACTTGTACAAATTATACTTGAAAAACTTCCCGATGAACTAAATTTAATTGTAAGCCGTAAACTAAATGAAAATTGATCTTGGGAAATTAAAGTTGTGTTCAATGGGCTAAAGACTGAGTTAATAGCGCGTGAACACAAAAATTCTTCTGATTTAAATACTTTACCCTTTAGTACTAGTACGTTTCATTCGCGAGAAAATTCAAGCAATAAATACGATAAGAGAACTTATACTTATAAGCGAAATAAATCTTATTTATCTGTGTGTTTATTTTGCGAAAATAACAACAAATTGCATCAGTGTAAATTAGAAACTAACATTACGGCTAGTAAAAAAACTTTAATTGATAAAAAAATGTTATTTTCGTTGTCTTAGTAATTGTCTTAGTAACATTTTAGTAATAAGTGTTCATTAAAAATGAACACTTATTATTAAAACGATGGAGATTTGTTTGCATCTTACAATTATATAATTAGGAATCAACTACCTAAAGTCAGTATTAAGAAAATCTCTAAATTGAAAAAAATATTTATAGTTTTTGATGCAGGTGGTTGCACATCTGGCCTTTGTTAAACGAGTGTTTCTTTTCAGGACCATCTCTAACAACTTCATTATATAGTATACTTTTACATTTTTGTGCCAAGCAAATCACTTTAATTTCTGACATTGAGAAAGAATTTGAAAATATTGCATTAGCTCAAAAGCATTGTTATTTTGTGGGATCTATATGGTATAAAGACGTATTTGATTTAGACAACTATGATTTAAAAAATGATGATTTATGTGTTTATCGATTGTGTCGAGTTTTGTTTTGCGTAACTTCTTCACCTTTTTTCATTCTCTGCGACCTCGACTAATCACGTTGAATGTTATGCTACAAACGATTTTGATTTTAGCAAAAAATTTAATCAATACTTTATAATTTAAATGCGAGTTTTGACTCTGTATCCGAAAGACTTATCTTTTTTAATAAAGCTAAATCGTGTTTAAAATAAGGTAGTTTTATCTTAGAAAATTAAATCCAAACTCAAAGGAGATAAGCAGTTTAATTAAAGAGGGCAATTTAACCTCAAGTGTTACAAAAGTTCTTGGTTTAAAGTGGAATAAAATTGAATGTGAGTTTATTTTTTCCTTTCAGTGTTTATTATATTTAGATAATAAACCCACTAAAATAAGTATTCTTACATTCATTGCAAGTTTTATGATCCTCTGGCATTAGTCAATCCTATTATTGTAGGATGTAAAATAATATTTCAGTCAAATTGTAAGTTAAAGGTAAGGTGGATACGGCTTTTGCAATCCCAACCTAAAAACGTACGGGTGTTGTACTTATTTAGGAGGTAGCACTAATGGAATTGCGAAATCTAGTCTAGTTAATTCTAAGTCAAGAGTTTCTCCTTTACTTAAAATTACTGTTCCTAAATTACAATTAAGGGCAACATTATTATTAGCTAATTTTTTTTCAGTTGTATATAAAGAATTATCCTATGTTTTAAACATTTCTTGAGTTAAGTTATTTTCTGATTCTATGATTTGTCTTAATTGGGTAAACAATGTAAATAAAAAATATGAAGCGTTTGTTCAGAAGCCCCTTGAAAAAACTTGTTCTTTGTATGATATTAAGTTTTGGGATTATATTGAAAGTGAAAGATATCCCGCGAATATTTTATCTCGTGGTTGTAAATTTAATTCTTTTTAAAATAATGATCTTTGGTTTGAAGGTTCTTATGTTTTATTCAATAACTTATTTTCATGGCCTTCATTTGATTGAAGCAAATAAGAAGATTCTCTGCCTGTAGTATACAACTTTTATTACTTCAGAACACTGTATAGTAAATTTAGATTTTATGAATATTAGGAATTTTAAGACATACGATTGTCTTCTTAAGATTACAACTTTAGTTTTACCTTTTACTTGTACAACTAAAAAATTTATTTAACAATGATTTATTTACTTCAACCACTTTTGAATTAAATAATGCAGAAATATTGTGAATTAAATTTATTCAAAAAGATATACATCATAGTATGTCTTATAACCAACTAAAACGAGATCTAGATTTTTTTAGACCTGATGAGATTGTTCGTTGTCAAGGTTGTCTTTGTACCGATTCAATTTAATTCAAAATTTTCCATATATTTACCGAATAAAAGTTACTTAACGAATTTAATTATCTCACATAATTGTATTACTAAACATAGTGGTGGTAAAGAAACACTTAATGAATTAAGGAATAAGTTTTGGTTAACAAAAGCTCGCAATTCAATTAAAAATATAGTTAGAAATTGTTAAATATGTAGAAAATTTGACAGTAAACCGTTTAAGTATCCTTGTTCTCCTCTTTTACCACTTTCTAGAGTTAGTGATGAGTATGTATTTAAATACTTCGGGATAGGTCTTTGGGAACAATCATGCTTATAAATCTTTATGAACATATTTTGATGTATAAAGCGTGGGTATATGTTGCTACGTGTTGTAGTACACTTTTTCTTTATTTAGATTTGGTTCCCTATTGTACAGCGGAAGCTTACATTCGTTGTCTTTTTCGTTTTTTTAGTCGCTTTGGCACACCTCTTAAATTCATTAGTAATAATGGTTCAAACTTCTATGCAGAAGAAATACAAAGGTTCTCGAGTTCACGACGTATACGTTGATGTTTCAATGGCCCTGCTGCTCCTTGGTAAGGAAGGTTGGGGGTTATTTGATTATCATAATCATAAGTATCATTATTATGATCATCATCAACAGAAAAAAAGCAAAAAGATTGACAATGATGATGGCAAATATGATAATGATGACAATGATCATTATCATCATTATCATCATCATCATCATCTTTGTTATCATCATCATAGTCATCATTATAAGGCTTTAGCCTTCTTTTTATAAGCTGATTCTCAAGAATAAAAAATCTAGAGCATTTTTATTCCTAACTATAGCTCATTACACAATATGTAAGGCACTATCTTCAAGTTTTCTCACTTCTACCACAACCATTTTCTACGGAAGCTGCTACCACTCTACATGTTGATACCTAAATTTTTTTAACCTTTTCTAACAAACGTTAATTAATGCAACAATTTTTATAACCTTTATAAGATTATGCGTCCTTTTCTTGTCTGGCTAGAGTCACAAAACACATCCATTGGATCATCTTTTCATTTGATAAATACTATATCATATAAATACTAAAGTTTATATTACAATAAACGGATATTGTATGCCAGCATCTAAACAAATAGCCAAACAGACATATTTATTTCCATAATATGTATCAAAAAACTACATTTTGGAAGCTTATATTGTTTCTGGAATAAAATTTCGGAAGCATTTATTACTTTTCTTCAGTTTTAAGCCAAGCCTCATTGTACTCCAAATTTTTTAACATTATACATCTTTTTCATTACAACAAATATCCTTTTTATTATTGCAATAAGCTAATGTGTAAATAAAGTCCTTTCTGATGTAAATCTCTGTTAATCTCAATTTACCAAAACTTTTATCTTATCTCAGATGTAAGGTTCTAGAGACTTTTGGTTAATTTTCAACAGTGTCATTAACTAAAGTAAGTCTAACGTTTAATCTTTAATTCGTGAGTCTGAAGTTTTTATTTTTCCCGAGAGAAAAGCAGAGCTATTAACAAAAATAAAATAAAAATAAGCGTTGCAAAGAAGTTATTAAAAAGTCTAACGATGAAGAAAGCAGTATTAAAGATAAACATTTTTAAAGTGCTTTAAGCAAGTAATACTATATGTTTGTATCAAACACGTAAAAAACAATAACTTTTTTGATATAAATTTCTAAAAACCCTATTTGTAGCATGTATTTAGACTTAAGTTTACGGACTTAAAGTAAATTTTTTTTTTAAATCAAATATTATTTAATTTTAGTTCTCAAAGTTTGGAAAATATGTCTTCTGAGACAAAACTAAGGAAATTTTTGAGTTTCTGCATTCAAACTCTTGTTTAACTTTGGTTAACAATAGTTATTAGCCATAAAATTTTTTTTTCTATCTAAGAGAACTGTCTTTTTAAGGGAATTATACCTGCAATGATAATTATAGAAATATAATCATATCATAGGCATAAAACTATTTGATAATATTTAAAGCAATAACAACCACAAATAGTAAGTAATATGAAAATCTTGAAAAACATTTTCCGAAGGAGTAATAAAACTCTTTTTTTTTTTTTTTTTTTTTTTTAAATAATAAGAGTTTAAAAATTGTTATAAACTTATTTTTTAAAAAAACAAAAAAAAAATAGTTTAAATTCAGTTTATGCAACTCTCAACACAATTTTAATAGTTATTTAAATATATTTTTTTTATAAACTTTTTAAAAGCTAAAACATTTTACCAGTCAATCTTAGCTCATTTAAAGTGTTTGTTGTTTTGCTTGAGTTTCAAAAAATGATTATAAAAAAGTGTTTTGAATTTTTTAAAATTGGTCTGCATGGCTTACTGGGTCAAAGTAAATGACTGAAAAAAGTAGGACTTATTTCATACTCGATGCTATAGAAGCTAAATAAAAAAACTTCCAAGCTATTTTATATTTTTTTATTTAATAATTATATAGTAGATTAATTCAATATTATTGACATGAGTGTCATTTCATATGTCATTAAAAACAGCATAAATTTGAACTAGTTGTCACAACCAGAGCATGCCATTAAACAATATAAACATTGGCTTTAAGTCAGAGCTTAGATATATGTAGACTTGTACTATTATGTTCATGAATGCCATTTAGTTTTTAACAACCAAGAGCCTGATGATTCGTTACGAAAAAACAATCCTTCATCGTTTCCTAATAAGATGTTTGTATATGTATATATATATATATATATATATATATATATATATATATATATATATATATATATATATATATATATATATATATATATATATATATATATATATATATATAAATATATATATATATATATATATATATATATATATATATATATAATATATATATATATATATATATATATATATATATATATATATATATATATATATATATATATATATATAAATATAAATATATATATATATATCTATATATATATATATATGTATATATATATATATATATGTATATATATATAAATATATATGTATATATATATATATATATATATGTATATATATATATATATATATATATATATATATATATATATATATATATATATATATATATATATATATATATATGTATATATATATATATATATATATATATATATATATATATATATATATATATATATATATATATATATATATATACATATATATACATATTCAAAGAAAATTCAATTAATTTACAATTAGATCTTTAAGAAAAATTACAATAAGATTGTTAATAACGTTACTCAATGAAAAATAAATAAAAGATACTACTAAGATTTTTTTGTTAATATCAAAAGAATGCGGACATTCACAGAAGACCATTAGGTCTTGTCATCAAGAACCACTCGTAAATTAAAACTTCGTATAATTAAATATATATATATATATATATATATATATATATATATATATATATTTATATATATATATGTATATATATATATATATATATATATATATATATATATATACATATATAAATATATATATATATATATATATATATATATATATATATATATATATATATATATATATATACATAAATATATATATATATATATATATATATATATATATATATATATATATATATATATATATATACATAAATATATATTTGTATTTTTATGCATTTTTTAAATTTATGTTTACTCAGTTGAATGTTTATAAAAACATGCACATAAATGTGATTTATTATATATGCACTTCACTTTATATATATATATATATATATATATATATATATATATATATATATATATATATATATATATATATATATATATATATATATATATATAAAGTGAAGTGCATATATAATAAATCACATTTATGTGCATGTTCTTATAAACATTAAACTGAATTAAAAAAAATACATCAAATTAATAACGTTTAAAAGTATGACAACATATCATCATGTGACAAAATGATTTCTTTAAGCCTACTTTTGAATGATAATTCTATTGCAGAAAAAAATTAAAATGTTTAAAACTATTTTGTTCCAAAGGAAAGCTCCTCGAAAAAAATACTAGATTTTCCAAAGTTAGTCTGAAAAAATGGTTAACGAATTAAATTAAATTGTATTTATTTTTATATTTTCATTTCTTAAATTGTATTTATTTTTATCTTTCAGCGTGCATAAATTATGTAAAGAAACTGGGAAAGAGTTAGTTTTAAATTTATACATAAAACAAAGAATATTTAAAACATTCAGCTGATATATATTAATAATTTTCATTTCAAATAAAAGAGGCTTAGCATGAGTAAATCTGTTTTTAAAATTAATAAGACGAGCAACATTCTTCTGTTGACGATGAAAAGACTTCAGTTTACATTTATTGGCATTGCACCAAGCATAATTTGCATAGTTTAAATGAAAATGAATAAAAGAGAAATATAATTGAATTAGACTACGTTTATTTAACACACCTCTAGCTTTATACAATATTCCTATACTTTTAGCAATTTTATTACACAAGAATTTAATGTAGTATTTCCAACTAAGGTTTTCATCAATATAAATACCCAAAAAATTAGCACTAATTACTATTTTTATTTATATCTTTATCAATAAAAAATTAAGGCAGTTCACAAGGAAGTAGTATTTTTTTTAGACGCTGGATAAAAAGTGTCCATTTTGTTTTTTCAACATTTAGTGAAAGTTTATTAATTTTAAACCAAGCAGATATTTTTGTTAATTCCATGTTCATATCTTGAATTAATGTAATTATGTTTTTATCAGACAAAAAGAGGTTAGTGTCATCGGCAAACATAATTGACATCAAATTAGAAACTCTATGAAGATCATTAATATAAATGAGAAAGAGAAGGGGTTCCTAATATCGAGCCCTGCGGAACCCCACATGTTATGTTTAATAAATTAGATGGGTTAACTTCATTACTATAAACAAACTGTTTGCGGTTGCTTAAGTAACTTTGAAGTAACTTTAAAACATTTCCTTTAATTCCATAATATTTAACTTTTTTCAGGATAATTTAGTGATTGATTGTATCAAAAGCTTTTGATAAATCTATGAAAACTCCCAACGTATATTTTAAATTTTCAAACGATTCAGGAATACTACGAGTTAAATGGAGTATCGCGTGTTCTGTTGATGTAATTTTTTTGAACCCGTATTAATTAATATAAAGTATATGATTTAAAGAAAGGTGATTATTAAAACAGGTAAAACAGAGATTGTGCGATAATTTGTAAGATTTGTAGCATCACCTTCTTTGAAAATTGGTAAGACTGGCTATTTTAAGAAATATTTCCTGTTTTATTGAACAGTACAAAACTTTAAACAGTACATCTTTTGAATGATCATACGAGTCAATGACGACAATACTATATATAACATCGTGACTGTCGGTCACAATTTAATAGACTTTAACACTTTAAAAGATTGCTAAAATTATTCAAAATATAATTCAAAGGAAGTTAGAGACGAAGTTAACAGAAAATCAAAGTTATCTATTTTGTTTATCATAAATAGATTTTTTTTTCAAGATTTGGGTCAACTGACACAAAAAATTTATTTAATTCATCAAATATATATATATATATATATATATATTTATATATATATATATATATATATATATATATATATATATATATATATATATATATATTATATATATATATATATATATATATATATATATATATATATATATATATATATATATATGTATATATATATATATATATATATATATATATATATATATATATATATATATATATATATATATATATATATATATATATATATATATATATATATATATATATATATATATATATATATATATATATATATATATATATATATATATATATATATATATATATATATATATATATATATATATATATATAGACAGAAGGAAAAAAATAAATTTATAAAAATATATTTCAAAAAAAGGAGTTGAAATTATTGATCTGTTTTATTTTAGGTATGTCGATAATAGTTACAACATATTGGCAAAACGATCAGATAGTTCCAAATGTCCCTTTCATGAAAACAATTAATTTTACAATTTATTTTAGCATCTAATTAAAAGAGAACAAAAAAATATATATTGCAGTTATTTTTCTAGACATTTCGGTTATCCTTGAAAACAACAAATTCATAAAAACTGATATTTTTTACAAAGAAACAATCACTCATTACTAATTAAACTTTGACAGTCATCATCCGTATCATATATAAAAAAGAACATACCTTTTAACCTTGCTAAAAGAATAATTTTTTGTACGTCTGATTATGCTACAGAAAAATTACGTCTTACGAAACTGAAAGGATGGTTAAAAGAGTGTCATTACCCTGATTGTGTAATAGAAAAAACATTATATAATGCAAATTTACAAAAGCCAACGCTAATAAAATAATTAAAAGAAGTCTCTCCTTTGGTGACTTCTTTCTATAGTAATTTAAACTGTCAACCAATTTTAACTGAAGCTAACCTTTTACTTAGTTTATCTGATAAGGAAAGATTAAATAAAGTTTTTTAAGTATTCAACCAGTAGATGCAGACAAACAACCATTTGTACTGAGGCAAATCAAGCGCTCAAAATTTCAAACGTCCTCTTTCAAGAAAATGGGTATACTCAAATGCAAAAAACAGTCAATGTAAAATCTGCCGGTAATATTTTTAAGAAGTAGAAAAATTTGAGACATCCAACAGTACTATTTGGAACGTTAAAGTCAAATTACATGTAATAGTAAAAATGCCATTTATTGCCTAAAATGCTTATTAGATAGTGGACTATCTACTTATACTAGAAAAACAAACATTTTAAGAAACCGCACAAACGGACATGTTTTCAGTTGCAAAACTGACTATTCAACTTGACTATACATGATTCGACAATCATGTGTATGATTGGAAGAAATCACACAAAAAAACTATGGAACAATTCTTTCAGCTTTTTGTTTTTCTTGAATTAAAAAATAAAAATAATTTGTTCACCTATGAAAACTATCTGCATAAACAAAAGCATAACACCCTCAATTAATACTTCCTTTTATAATAACATAACAATTGTAACTCATAGTTACAAAACTGGAATTAAATATTTCTATTATTTAACTTTTAAAATATATCTAAATCATGATAACTACAATTGCAATTGTACTATTGATGATTAATACTGAAAGGCCTCTAGTACTATTTAATGTTTTCGTAGTAGTATTTTAATATAAGAAACATTTTTAGTAAACAAGTTAATTCATTTTTTGAATACTTTTGTTTTGATTGGTTTCTTTTTCCCTTTTGTAAAAAGGGAAAAAGAAACCAAGAAAACAAAAATATTCAAAAAATATTGTATTTTTCAAATATCTATTTGTTGCTCAATTAATCTCTTTTTTCTTTGAATATTTTTTTTACCCTCAACTATGGAAAGATGGAAACCAATAACCAACACTGGTTATTGCTACAAGGACAAAAGGAATGACAGCTTTATTTTATAAATAAATATTTTTTCAGATTATTGAACTAAAAGAAATATTACTAAATAAATTATGTTTATTTATAAGTCTTTGTATCTAAAATAAAAAACTCCGTCAGTCAGAAAAATTTAAACGATTTTGAAAACTGAAATAATAAGTAGTGATGTGCTTAAATTTTCCATAACGGTAAAGCTGTGCATTA